TATTATATATTTATTTCTTATAATAGGCTTATAACTAATTATTATAATATTATTATGATGTTTTGTTTAAAAATGAGTTTTTTAAAAAATTTAATTTTAAAAATAATATTATAATAATATTATAATTACAAGTTATAACTTGTAATTATAATATTATTATAATATTATTTTTAAAATTAAATTTTTTAAAAAACTCATTTTTAAACAAACATCATAATAATATTACAATAATTAGTTATAAGCCCATTATGAGAAGTAAATATATAATAAAGATATTATTAAAATATTTTTACTTGAAAAAACATTATTATAATATTTTGTATATATTATTTTTTATTACAAAAACAATTATAATTTTTTACAAGTTTCTGTATAGTAGATGTAGTGAATATAACTATTACTCTCTAGTAGTGTCTGAGCATTGTTATATATTTAAATATTTTTTTAGTAGTCTTTATTCATTTATATGAGATGAAAGTAAAGTGGTCATATCTCAAAAAGTTAATAACAATAAGATGCTCAATAAGATTCTGTGTAATTTATGATATATATATAAGTGTACTATATGTGAATTATATATAAATATATGTTAGTTTAATGAATTTGGTAAATTAAGTCTAAAAGGCACAAAATGCAATTTTGATATAATACTTCTGAAGCTCAGTATCAAACTTGTGTCCTTGAAAAACAACAGAATGATAGACAATTGAAAACAAAGATGTTAATGATTGTAACAAAAAAAGGCTACAAAAATATGACAATATAATTGAATAGATTCCTTTCAGTAAATTAGTTAATATTCAAATAATAGTTATAGATTTTAGCAACCTGATAGATGAAATAGAGTATATGGATAAATATAAAAATAAAAATTATGAATATAAAAATATGCATTACATATACGAATATATAAAGTAAAGCTTAAATATTCATTTATTAAAGGATAGATAGGTTGTAAAATCTGAATTCTTCTGTTTATATTAATATATCTTTTCTTTAGAAATGTATAATAAATTATAAGGGTGCAAATATCATATTTGTTGCCAATACATGCAGGTTAGCAAATGTTAACTATAAAAGATAAACTGTATACAACAAATAAAAGTATGCGAGCACCAACTATTATCATGAAATTTGTAATCTAAATTAAAGGTTGTGAATAAGTTTAATGAAACCCAACCAAAAGCTATAAATAAATTATTAATAATATAAGAGCCATCAAACTTATCTTGAGCAAAGCTAATTTAATATGTTGAACTTTGAAATATGTTTTGGGTACCAACTCAATTTGGTGGTGCAATCTTTTAATATAGCAATACATATAATATTTATAATAAATAGAGAGCAATATTTGTATATTCTGTTGAGAAAAATATGTAGAGTTTGTATCATTATCTGATCAAAGAAAAAAAAGCAAGAGCTATCTGAATTTTTGTCAGAGATAATAATTTGCAAAGAAAAGTAAAGCATAGTAAGATTGAAGAAAAATATTTAATCGAATTTGATTCTGTATATATACAGTAGTAACCAGAATTACTAAACTGTAATTTTACACTTCGATCGAAAGTGCCTTTATTTAAAAATTGTATAGCTTTATGTTGGTGATGTATTTTATGTAAAACTATTGATTCAAAGTTTTGTGACAAAATTATCTTCTCTTGTATAGCTGAAAGTCTCTGAGTTGTTACTGTTTGATTCATTTTTCTTTTTACTGTTTGGTTTTATTCATGTTATTCTCTTTTTGGTTAGTTTTAGCATTAGATTGGTTAAACATAAAGAAGATCATTACCTTACTCATATATTTGTTATAAAAAGCAAGATCACCTTTTCTAAAAAAAAGATGTTGCTGCGGTAATCAGTTGTACAAATTCCTGAAATTCAGGGATTTCTTAGAATTCAGAAAATTAAGAATAGTGGTAAAGATAAGAAAAATGGAAAATTAGAAAAATTATAATTCGCATTATTTTTGTATATGTAAAAAATTATTATATAAGTGGAGGTTCTCTCCAGAAATAAAATATAACTTCTGAAGTTCAACTTAAAGAGTTTCAAGAAAATCTTCAAAATAAGGGTAGAAGTGTTTGTCTTTAACCCACTATATTCTTTTATTATAAATTGTTCGTTGTTATAGTCTTCTTGTCCCTGTAACTATCATACATCATATTGTCGTATTTACTAAAAAGAGAGACTGTATTGTACCTAAAATATGAACCTGTGAAATAGTGACCTTGTACTATATTTTCGATTGGCCAATTTCGATCACGAGACTCAGTCACAGTAATCTCTAATGAAAGAGTAATAAAGAAGTCAAGTATTAGTAAAGTAGTAAGAAAAGCTACTAAATTATTAAGCAAAAGCAAGTGGATACTTGTCAGAGCCTAATACTATCGCTAGAAGCCCAAAATAACCCTAATTTCTTGAACCAAGTCTTTCTATAACTCTATCGAAGCCTTACCATTATTAGGGTTTGGTTATTATAGTAATATTGTTTTAGTTTGAATAGTTTAGTTAATCTTTAATAATGAGTTATATTCTGGTCCAGAAACTTTCTAATGAAACTTACACTTTTTTAACATATAGTAAATCTATCGTCTATTAATATTTAGCATGTATATTAGCTTTAATAAATAAATTCACTAATAATGTAAAAATAAAAAAGCGTATACCTTTCATTTCAATAAATAACTAACTTGCCAAGTTCATGACTTTGAAAGATCCAATAGAAGATAATCTAGTAGATTTCTCTTTTAATTCATAAAATTTTGTTGTTCACAAATAGTTATAATCTTGCTTCCTGTGATTTTTCATGAAAATATACTAAACCGATTATTAAAAAGAGAGAGAATAAAATGATTGGTTAGTAGTACAAATCATATTTATATTAAAGTCATGACCTATTAACACATGAGATCGTGATCAGAATTCACAATTAATACATTTGAACTCTGCTGCTATATGCTCGAGAAAAAGAGAAAATATAGTAAAGCTACTAGTATTAAGTTCACATATTTTTTATAGGTATCAATAATTAAAAGCAAAATAGTATTTCAAGTAGTGTTAGTTGATGATTATTATTAGTATAACCCTTACACCAACATATATTAGCTTGAAACAGTTTTTCAACTTTGTATAACTTAAAATTTTATCATATAATTTTAAAGGTTTTAATACTGTAATTGTAAAATTGTCTTTTTTTAAAAAAAAATATTTTTAAAAAAAATCACTTAATCGATTCTAATAAAAGTGATTTTTTTTATAAATATTGCAATAAAAAAATATTTTAGTATATTTAAAAAGTTACTAGAGACAGACAAACTGCTATTCTTTTTTGACCTCTTGCAAAAAAGTAAATCGAGAGATAAATATATTTATGAATCTGAATTTATAATATTTAAGGTTATACTGATAATAGATTTATATTTACAGAACAGACATTATAAAAAGAATTAAGATGCAAGCAATAGTGAATACTTGCAATTTGATTCTTATGACCAGTATATTAAATGAATACAAGTTGATCATCATATTTACTGCATATATTGTTTTGAATATCTAAATATATTGAAATAAATATTTAAAACTTAAGCAAGCATAACTATGATTAAAACATTTGATATATAGACCGTAATAAATATTTTGCTAGATATAGCAATATAGTACTTGAATTCATGATTTTTTTTATTTTTTTTTATTTTTTTCTATTTTATTTTATTTATTTATTTTTTTATTTTTATTATTTATTTTTTTATATTTTTTTGTTTATTGTATTTTTTATTTTTTATTTTTTATTTTTTATTTTTTATTTTATTTTGATAACCTTTAAGTATTAGAAGCATCGGTATTTATCAATACTTGTATTTTTTTTTGTTCACAATTTTTTAAGTTCTAAGACCTGCATCTTTTCAAGAATATAGTTCATTCTATCTATAACTTCAGTTGAAACCATATTAATTCTCTTTGAGGAGTCAAAATAGTTTAGGGCTACAGCTATTCCAAATGCAATAGAATTTTTTTCTGTATCTAGATCCGCAAAAGCATGATTAATAATCAGATTAAGATAAGTATATTGTGGGTTGTTATTAGCATTAACAGGTTTATTTAATTTCATATAATATTTTCATATAATTTTAGCATCTTTGAACTTTCATTCTTCCTTATGTGTGACTTGTTAATTTTTTGTTTTAGGCTTTATAAGATCTGGAAACTCAGTATGAATAGTATCTTTGATTCTTTGAACTATATTGCTCCTTGCCTGGCAGGCAAACCTTTGAACCTATTTAAATAGTAATAATAAGATTAAATAGTTATTACAAACACAATGATTCAATTTTGCTTACTAAGAGATGGATATGCTTGTTGAAAAAACATTTCCAACTACAATTTTTTATTTTGTTTTGAAATTCATCATTTTTTGTATCTGATAATACATTATAGCAAACTTCCATAAGGGTAGTATCATTTATCATCTGATTATTTTTTATCAGAGGCTTACATCTCTTCTCCCTCTTAATATAAAAAAATCTGGTTCTTATATATAATTTTAAATTTTTTTACCCCCTCACCCCTAAAAAATTACCTGATTTTTGTCACATCCCTAACGTGTTCATTGGTTAGATACTTTACTTTTTCAATTATACCATAAATTGTATGGTCAATTGCATCCTGATACAAGCAAAAAAATTAATAGATTATACAATAAAGTTAATATTTGTCTTTAACATTTATGTACATACTTCTATCTATTTAAAGTCATCTTCTGAATGACTAAAACCAATAGCTTTCCAGTCTGTATGTATTTCAGTAATTTTTTTTTGAATTTTTTGGATTATGGTAACCAACTGAAGTTGCACATCTTGTATATTTTTAATAGTAGAAATAAGGCCTAAAAAAAAAGAAAAAAATGCATAATTAATGTAATGATATAAAAAACAAAAAAAAAAGTTCATTTAACTTACAAATTCTTTTTAAGCATTTATATCATCTCTATCTACTTGGCCTTTTCATTTAGAATTAGAATTAATTGCATCATTTTCAGAAATATCATTAGCGAAATTCTGATCATTACTTGAAAAATGATCTTCTATATTATACAATATATCATTACCATTATACTCATCTAGCTGGGTCTTTGTAAATCTAGTTTTGCTAATCAGAATAGAATTGCTTGAAGTGCTTGGAGTACTTGGAGTGCTTGAAGTATTTGGAGTATTCAAAATACTTGTTTGCTTCTCAGTAAGGTTAATAAAGGGCAGATGATGTTGTATACTTTTTCGCCTTGATATAGTTGATATTTTTTCTTTGAGTGGTCCATATTTGTAAAAAAAAAAATATAAATTTCTAAAATACAAGTATTTTGTAATGCAACTAGGTAAGGCAAGAATTTATTTCAATTTATAGTGCTTGATTTATATATTGGCACCACTTTACCTTATAAAGCACTTATCTCTTTATTGTTGGAAAGAAAATCTATATCAACAAATTAACTATTTATTTCTATACTATAATTACATATTTAATGCATTAATTATAACAATTATATATCTATTAACTTAACTCTGCATGCATAAAGATAAACTCTTAATTTATACTAATAAGGCAATAGCATGATCTAATAATATGAATAGGATCTGATTTTAATCAATATTCATTAATAATATATATGAATAGGCCCTAATTTTAATCAATATTCATTATATTATCTCTTTATTGTTGGGAAGAGAATCTATATTAGTATCGATTACAAATGAATTGTTTATTCCTATACAATTATGAATCTATTAAATTAACTCTGCATATATAAAAAAAACTTCTAATTTATACTAATAAAGTAATAGCATGATTTAATAATATGAACAGGCTCTGATTTTAATCAATATTTATTATATTAGTTGATATCATTGCAGTTTGTAGTAAAATATAGTAAAGTATAACAAAAAAATTAATATATAATTAAAATAGTTTTCTTTTTTAATGACAATAAAAATAAAGCAGTTGACAAGTATATACGGCATATTGGTAGCAGATATATAAAATAAATCTTACTAATGTTGTAAGCTAATTGCTAACAGGATATTGCCAACTATAAGTCTTAATAACTGCTAACTATTTATTCTCCAAAATGCCCAAGTGTTTCTCTTGTAATAAAACCTTTAAAGACTAGCAAGCATTGGATAATTATATTAGAAAATATCTAAATGATAGTAATGACAATTTACCTTTTCTAAACCAAACAATTTCTCAATTTCATCTAAAAAACAACCAAAGTTAATGATAAAATCATGTCCAGAAAACAAAACGTGCTTGAAAAACTGAAATAAATAATATTTTGGAGAAGGATAACTTTAATATTAATGAGTCTAATAAAAGGCTAAATCTTGATATTTCACTTGTCAATCATACAAATTCCTCTCAAAGTCATAATGAATCTATTGAAGAACAGGATGCTAAATTTTTTAATACAAGTAATTTCCACAGTAGCTATACATTTGATGATAAATCCAGAGTATCTGATTCAAGTGCTTCTCATAGCAGCAACATATCTGATAATAAATCTACAGTATCTGATTTATCAGATATAACAAATATTGATATTAATAAATATGCTAAATATAATAATTTAATTTCTGGAAAACCAAAAGTTCCTGAAGATAGATATCAAGAATTTTTGTCAAAGAAATAAGCAGAATTTATGAATATAATAACACATTTTCATATACAAGATCCACTTGCAAATGCATTTATAAGGTTCTTTAACAAATATTCAAGTCATAATGATTATCCCTTATTATTAACATTGCAAACTGGACAGATGTTCATTAAAAATCTTAACCTTCCAAATTTTGGTTAGAGAAAAGAAGTTATTTTTAAATACAAAGAATTAGAATATATACTAGAGTTTAGGACAATACTTGATGGAATTTATTAAATATTATTAAATAGGAGTATCACTGAAGAGTTTATATCCAAATATAATTCATCTAAAGATAATATAAATAAATATTAAATATAATAATAATATGACAGGGAAAACCCGTGATGGAAATCTGTGAAAGTTGCTCGTTATTAATGCAGAGCATTATCTAAAATAGTAACTAACCTATTACTAACCTAACTAAATAAGATTTGCATCACCAATATAACTACCTTTGTTATAGGTTTTACCCTTTCATATAACAATAATAGGTAAATATTAATTTAATTTTATAATTAAAGGTATCTGGTGAGCGTTAATACTCTGATATGCATGATTCTAATTGGTAAAAAAATATAGACAAAATCTTCTAATTGGAGCTTATTTAATGCCAATAATTCATTATTCGGATGCTACCTTTGTAATCATTTAGGCAAGACGTCGAGATATTCTGTATTTATAATACTTGAAAATATTTCTTTGGCTCACCGCAACAAGATTGACACAAAAATTTTATTAGTTTCATTCCAACTCTCAAGTATCATAGTACATCTGAAAAAAAATCAGACAAATTTCGAGCAGCAGTACAAAAACTTTTTTATAGAACAATTGCTACTATACTTAGATCACTAAGATTTCTAAATAATACTAGCATTTATCTATATGTCAATAGTAATATTAAATAGTTTTACCCATATTTGGCGCTTATAATTTCAGATTGGCCTGAAGCATCTTTGATATATGCTACTTATAGATCATCAAATTCTTCATGTCCATGTTATTTTTGTTTAGTAGATCGTAATTCAATAAATAATATATATCTTGAAAAAGAAAATATGATTATCTATAATGAAAATATGACTAAAGATATATTAAGGCAGGTAATAGTAAGCAAATCTCAGTACATTATATGAAAAATGCTTGGTAGAAGAGACTGTTAGTAATTTTATAAATTAATTAATATCATAGCTAAAGCTTGAAATAGCTAAAACATAAAATTTTAAATACTTTAATATGAAATTTTTAAAAATTTTGGGGTGTATTTTTTTAGCTATTTTTTTATAATTAGATTTGAATAGGCTTTATATTTTAAATTGAGGTTTCTAATTTCAAGCTTCAGCTGTTCAAACTTTAGCTGTAACTATTAATTTTGGTCAATGTGTAATTATCTAAAGTATTAAATAAATAATTAAATTTTTTTATAAATACTTCAATGTTTATACTATATGTGTGCCAGATTGTATGCACCATACAGATCTAGAATTTTTTAAATAGCATCTATAATTTACTGTCAAACTTTTAAAATTGAAATATAGTAACAACCCAATAAAGATTCTTGAGAAATGTCTTTCTCAAGTCTCTCGTTATCCAAATCTTAAAGTGTTCAAAAATAGATTTGAAGTACTTAACTGATTAACTGCATCTAAATATCAGGCTTTAATAAAAATAATAATATTCACCCTGGATAAATTAATATTTGAAAAAAATCTTAACAAAAAACTGTGTGATCTTTACTCATTATGGATCGATATGTATATATGGAATTGTAAACCTAAGTACACCAAATCAGATCTTAGTAAATTTGAGGCAAGTTTGCTAATAACAATTATTAATATAAAAAAAAAATAAAAAATAAAAAGAAATAAAATTAAATTAAAGTAAGAAAATAAAAAAAAAACAAAAAAAAATAAAAATAATTTTATAAAATAATAATTTTTATTTATTTTATTTTATTTTTTTTACCAAAGATCGATTATTGAGTGGTGTGATTTATTTATAAAACTTATAGCAAAATTTTCACCATCAAACTTAAATTTACCCAAGTTATATAGTTGGCACTTTCACTTAATACCATCAATTCATCAGTTTGGAGCTATTAATGGTTTTACAAGTGAAACATATAAATTATTACACAAAACTAATATTAAGCAACCATTCTGCATTACAAATAAATGCAATATAAATATACAAATGCAATCAACTGTAAGTATTTTACACCAATATTGCATAATGTGATGATTTAATAAGAAATGCCTACAATTAAATGAATACCAATATTGATTTCAATTTTATTTTAAATTTTGTAAGGTAACTTAGCAGAATATCTTTAATAATAGTTTAGTTTATGGTATCACAGCAAACAAAGATAACGCAGTATATGATCGATCAAATTATAAGCTAGCTAGCAAATACATCAAACTTAGACAAATTATGGGTACGTGATTTTGAAAAACTGAAGTATTGAATTTATAATTATCTTCAAAATATCGAATATTGGTTATCACAAGAAATCAAAAATAAGGCAGTTTTGATTGAAGTATTTGAGTTTGCTTATCTAGACAATGATTATAAAGTGGCTATTCACACATCTTCTAATTATTATAGACATGCAGTTTTCTCAAATGTTTGTATTAAAATAGATAAATTTGAACAGAATAACTATTTAACAGATAATAGTTTATGTTATACAACGGTATGTATATTGTTTTTTTTGTTTAATTTTACAGATAACATGATAGTAATATTACTATAATTTAAATATTTTTATATTTTTAGATTCTTCTTATTGTTCAGATTACCTTGCCAAAACTAAATTAGAAGCTTGAGCTTGCTCTTATTCACTAGTATGCCTTGTCTATCTATCTGATATATATCATCATTATTTTTATAAGTGTACAATTCTTAAACATATCAAACACTATATCTTAATTCCTATTGCTTCAATTGCGAATACAGTGTATATAATACCAAAGATATATATATTACTGATTATTATTAAATAACTATAGTAATTAAATAGTATAATTATTAGTGCTTGATTATTCACATAGTAATATACTATTGAATTAAAATTTAGATTCATATCTGTAATCTCCATTATTGTAGCTAGCATAAAAGCATTGTTGTTTAAAATAAATAAATAAATTAAATCTTGAATATTCAATTTTATATATCTAGTCTTTGTTCTATCTTATTTACTTAACATTGACTGTTGTCTATTTAGTTATTACTCTATATATATTGCAAGTTTGGTGTTTTCAATATTAACGAATATAGCTTTATATGCAGAAAAACAGAATTTTATCATATTATTCAATAGTATCAGATAATTATTTAGCATAATTATTATAATTATTTTATATAGAAACCTGTATCTTATAAGTGATAATTTGGAAACCTTCAAATTAAAATATGCTATAATAATTATGGCCAACAAATCTTATGAAGAAAATGTTAAAACAGAGAGAGACCTACTAGCCATTTATCAACAACAAACTTCTGTAGATCCTTAGAATAGCAGTATAATACAGATAAGAACTTGTCAGCATGTATTTTCCTTAATCACATTTTCTTTCTGATTTTGTATAATATTCTATTATTTGGTCTCTGTTATTATATTTACTATATGCATCAATCTGATAGCAATGGGTGTGGTGACTTAGTGAAGTGGTGAAGTTGTTGCACTCCAAGAGGTTGAGTACAAGTTCAATTTCTACTGGAGATGAAAATTGAATTTCGAAAAACAGATTCGGCAAGTATTGTCGTGGCTGGAAAAACTCAAGACCCTGTAACTATGGTCATACCAATTCATCAAAACTGGAAGATCTTGGGGCCTTTGTGTGATGTATGAGTTACATGAATGATTTTCGGATCACAGAAAGCTACAAGGCTGATATGGCAGTGTGGCGCTCGCTTGGCAAGTTCCAAATAGAGCAGTAATACAGATCTTTGATGGTACAATGTAAAGGATTATCATCGGAAGAACCGGCAAAACTGAATGAGACCGAGTGTTTGGCAAGAACTCCACCAACCAGGTCACCGGAAGAGTAACTGGAGGAAAAGAACCCAACCGTAGGGACCAGAAGCAGGTCACAGCCCTTCCAGGCCATCTGAATTGGTAGTTTGGAATAGCTGGGGATACCGTAGATGGTCTGTAATATGTGTACCAGGGTTTAGGTAAACTTTATAAGGGCAGAAGTAGGTAATAGTAGGGCTTCAGCTCACAAGTCCTTGTCCTCGGACTCGGGCATAAGTTACTGAAGCCTAGGCTAGCCAGATTGTAGGTACAAAAAGCTCTAGCAGGTTTTTCTCGAAGACAAAGGGTTCACTGGTCGAGCCTGCTTTAAAGTCCTAAGTCTGGATTCTTAAGGAATTCAGTTATATATAGGGTGACTTACATATGGCGCAGAGGGTTTAAATAGATAACCTCTAGTTGGGTTATAGGTATAGCATCTAGTGTAGAATTTAGTAATAAGCGAACTACTTAAATAGGTAATCAAAAGTTGTACGTGTGGCTAGTATGTATTCTTCAAAAATATATATACTGTACAGGTGCCTAGAGGGGCTTAGCGTTTGGTAAAAAGTTAACCAGTAACTGAATAAAGAGACTCAACCAAGAGGTCACCTTA